TTTATAAATTCTGTTTTATTTTGGGACAAAGTACAAATGACAACGTATATTAATTTTTGATTTCGTTGAGTTTTTTAATTATTTTCAGGGTGAAGGGGATTGGAAAAGGAATGATCTGATTTTACGCTTGGTAAAAGAAAAAAATAATAACATATTATGTTTTCTTAGTTTGTATGTGTGGGTGTTGTCGTTTGGGGTTTGTCGTTTTGAAAAACCCACTCAATACGTCCTTCTTTGTGCTGCGCGGGGTGGTGGGTTGAAATGGGCTCTCAGCATTTCCTTTTCGCCAGTATTGATTGTGAATTGATGTTTGAGACTCTTTTTCTGGTTTTTGATTAAAATGTGATGGGGAGCGAAGACATAACAGGAAAGTACTAGGTGCTTCTTTTTTTGTTTTGCTGCTCTGCCTAAATACCTTGATGGGAGGGAAAATTATCAAAATACAACAGATATTCTCACTCTATGTGAATGGAAAGTGTTTTAAACTATTCTGCTACTTGTCGCTCCCTGAGGGGGATCTCTCTTGAAACAAGGTGAAAACTAATAAAAATATTTTCTGTTTCTCTCTTTGTTTTTTCTTGCAATTTATAGGCCCAGCAAAGAAGAAGGTAAATTACATTAGGCATTCTTTTCCTGGTATGCTTTCGTTGCGCCTTTTGAATCCTTTGGAATTCCGAAGGAAATTATGAAGAAAAGATGAGGAATTGTTGGGGATTTGGCTCCCCTGCTGGTTTTATTTATTCCTCTTTTGGTGTTGGATGTTGTTCGGCTTCCTCGCTCTCTTTTTTGGGGCGAAATTAATGAATGGGGTATGTGGCGGATGGCCGTTGTTCCTTTCCCTCGGCGGAATTTCAAAAGGGTGATGCCATGATGATTTCAACATGAATTGTTTAAAGAGTGTGGGGGATGGATCCCATTCTCCTTCGCGGCGTCGCTCTTTATTGTTGGGCGTGGTGTGCGGGGTGGTGGCCCGGCAGATCAGACCCCCAGCAAACAATAAAAAAAAAAAGAAACGGGGGAAAAACCAAAACAATACAAAAAACGTGGGGTTTGGGAATTGGGAGTTGTGAAATAAAAGAAAATAAACGCCCAAAAGAACGCGAAGGGGAAATGCACCCCGCAGGCCCCAACGGCGAAGGAACTTCCCAACGACACGCGTGATGGGCAGCGGGCTTTCCCACGAGCGTGGCTCTGGGGAACAAGAGTGTCAGAGGGGAATTGTTTTCTGTTAAGGGTGATGTGGATTTTGAGGGGGAAAATTTGTAGAGGGAAACAATTATCGTAATTTATTTGTTTTGTGTATAAACTCTGAAAGGGCAGGCGGGTATGATCGCATTTAGTTTGCTGCAACGCTGATGTCTATCTCTTGCTCTCATGTTTTTTCTGTATTTCTATACAAACTGATGGTCTAAGTGTTTGCTCCTGTTGTTTCTCGTTTTTGGTTCAGTCGAGATCGTTCTTTTCGCGCCCACCCACCGCATCCCTGTAGATTTTTATTTTATTTTTATTTTTATTTTTCCATCCAGTGAACCGGCATGCGCTGCTGGAGTATCCCGAAGCCGTGAATGCAGTCACTACCACGTTGTCTTCCGGCCTCCGATCATGAGACTGCCCTTCACCTCATACAAATGAGCTGAAACAGTAGTATTCTTCCAATGCCTTTTTTTTTGTATTCACTTTTCTTGTTTGTTATTACTATGGCTTTGCGTTTTTTCATTTCCAACTTTTCCTTTATCTTGCGATAAGGTTTGAGTTTTTTCGCAAGCCACGATTGTGTAATACCAAACGTTTTTTCATTATCATTAACATTGAGTGAACTGTCTAAAATGACTAATCTTAGTCCA